TCTTTTAGACTTGGCAGTGCCTTTCCTGAACTGTGGAATGCGTTCTGTCCGGGCTTCAGTGAGTGTGGTTTTAAACATTTTCCAAGCATCCTCTAGAGATCTGATCCTCTTGTGTTTTCCTTCCAGCTTCCGTTTAACTATTCCCTTCCTTTTTCTAAAGTTCCCTCTTTTGAAATGAAATATTACAGTTTTGGACTTTCTAGGGGCCACTTTCCATTGACATGAATGCATTGTGGTTACTGTTCCCAATTGCTGCAACAGAGTCTACATCAGTGGCCAGGTCTTGAGACCAGCTCAGAACCCATTCCAAGATCATTACACCTCTGGTTAGCTCTGTGTCAACTACCCTATTAATTTTATAGCTCGGTTGCCATAGTGATGGAGGAGATAGTGTAGAATGGTGTAGCTAGTGCGAAATGCTTTCACTTTGCATTGCCTTGATGTACCAGAACTCTTACCAGTTTGGTGTAGTGGTTGAGTGCGCGGACTCTAATCTAGGAGAACCGGGTTTGATTCCCTACTCCTCCACTTGCAGCTGCTGGATGACCTTGGGGAAGCCATAGTTCTGTCAGAGCTGTCCCTGAAAGGGCAGTCCTCAGAAGAGCTCTCTCAGCCCCACCTACCTCACAGGGTGTCTGTTGTGGGGAGGGGAAGGGAAAGGAGTTTGTAAGCTGCTCTGAGACTCTGTATAGATTCTGCCCCACAGGCCAGTCCAGGGATGGGGGAAAGAATTCTACACTGGCACAATACATTACTCAATAACCCAGAAAGGTAGGCTCTCTGGATTTAAACACAATAGCCACCAGGGATTTCTAAGATTAATCCCTCACCAACCTGAGATTAGAGATTCCCAGAATCTCAGTTGGCATGTGGGTTTTACACATTAGCAACTCTAGCTCAGAGATGCACTTAATCTTACACAGGTAGCACAATTGGTCAGCGGTTTAGGCTACAGGATTTAGCTTTAAGTCCAGTTACCACAATCCAGACACTATTTATAAACCAAGATAAGTTTATTTAGTACAGACTTAGCACAGACTAGAAAGGATTACAAAATAACAAAAACTTATGGCTCTTGGCCCTAACTAAACATTAGAGATATGCATAATTACCAACTTCAGGAATCCATAGTCCAAGGTTGTCCATTGTGATAAAGTCCATTAGGTCCCATCTTTATGCAAGATTCTAGCCATGTGCTCAGCTCCAAAGCAATCCTTTGTCTCTGCTAGAAGCCACATGGCAGCATAGCATCTCAGATGGACAGACACAGAGCTGCCAAGATAGCAGGAACAGAAGAGAGAGAGAGAGAGTTCTCCCATAGGGTTTAGCCAGATATAGGGCAATTCAGTCTTCAAATTAGCCCTGGCCAGGGGCCAATTGGAGTAGACCTGGGAGTGCCCAATGGTAGGGTTGCCATGGGTACAATTTCTGAATGGTCAGTTGTCTTGAAGGCCACACCTGCAGTTATGTGATCCCCCAACTCCCATAGCGTACGTGCAGTTTCTGGCATGCTGGCCTAGCTTCCAGCATGAAGTGTGAAGGAATGTTTTTATGGCATGGCAATAGAGGCCATCTGGACCTCTATTTGGCTTCAACAGGAAATCAACACAGCAGGGTACCAGCAAGATATCAGCAAGACACATTCTAGGGGGAGGCAGGGGTTTATAGGAATCAATATTTCTATACAGACTCCTTCTGGTAGTGAAGGGTGGGGTATAAATCCAATCTCTTCTTCTTCTTCTTCTTCTTCTTTGTAAGACAAATGGCCTTCAGTAGAGCCTCTGCCGTCTCAGCTCCTCTTCCCGTGGGAGCTGTGAACTGTTACTTTTGGTGAGTGGGATTGGAAACATCTATTGGCTTGGGACATTTGGGACCCTTCCCCGATTTACCTATAGCTGTACTTTTCACGCCATTTCCCCTCAGTTCTAACACAGACAGTGTCTGCCCTGGATCCTATCAATGTCTCAATAAACTTTTCATTCCCTGGAGTGACGAGTGTTGGGAGACCAGCTGGTCCAATGTATACTCGTTTATGATCTCTAGAAATCTCATTTCTACAGCATGACTCAAACACATGTTTACCCAGTCAATGTGAATGTGGTTGAGGTCTCCCAGTATAATATTGTTATCCATTTTAGTCACCTCCCCTCATTCCATTCTCCAACTTAAGATCAGCCTCAAGGGTTTGATCAGGTGGGTAATAGTACACCCCCACTTTTAAGTTACCCTTAGGATCCGGTATTTCTACCCATATTGCGTCTGCTGGGGAGTTAATTCCCCTGCTGTTTTCTAACTTATTTGGTTCTATGCCCTCATGGTTGTACAACGCAACACCTCCATCCACCAGTCCCCCTCTGTCATGCCTGTAGAATTTGTCGCCAGGAATTACTGTATCCCACAGCTTTTCTCCATTCCGCCATGTTTTCTGAGATACCTCCTACATCTAAAGTGTCAGTGAGCATGAAGCACTCCAGCTCCCCCATCTTGGTTCGGAGACTTCTAGCCTTGGCAGAGGGACACTTCTAATGTGTTTCCCTCTCCAGCAGCCCTCGCCTCCCTCAGCCCCTTAGTCACCACACGTGGCCCTCAGTTGCCATCCTGCCCTCACTGCCAAGTTCTCTTACGCTCCCATCAGTACTACCCTGCGTGTTTATGCAGTCATGCCTTTGGACTGACTTGGCAGAACTGGAAGCTCCCCATTGCCTGTTGGCTCCCCCCCCCCGGGATTAGTCCATCATTAGAAGTCCATCAGTGGCTATTAGCCACAAGGTATAGATAGGAACTCTCAGTCTGGGGCAAGCGATGCTCTGTATTCTTGGTGCTTGGGGTGGGGTGGGGCCACAGTGGGAGGGCTTCTAGTGTCCTGGCCCCACTGGTGGACCTCCCGATGGCACCTGGTATTTCTGGTCACTGTGTGACAGAGTGTTGGACTAGATGGGCCATTGGCCTGATCCAGCATTGGCTTCTCTTATGTTCTTATGTTCTCTTATGTTATTAAAAGCTGCTCTGGCACCATTTTTCTATTAAGTGCCAGCAGCCTGGTTTTAGTTTGGTTCAAATGAAGCCTGGGTTTTTTGTATAGGTTTGGCTTCTCCTGGAAAGTTCCCCAGTGCCTAATAAATCTAAACCCTTTTCCCAGGAAAACGTCCCACAGACGGGATTCCCGTCATCCTCTCTGAGTGTGATCTGGAGTGGATCCCTCCTCCTTGCACAGGTTCTGCTTCTGGGCCTTGATCTTGACCAGGTTTCCACCCTTCCTTGGATTTCTGTCCTTCCCCCTATAAGAACGATCACTGTCTCTTTCTCTGTGCCAAAGAACCACGGAATGTAAGAGAGACTGCGGTGGAGACAGACAGAGGTCTCGCATCTGAAGAAAGGCCAGAGAGTTTCTCAGGAGGATCTCCAGAGAGTATTTCCTTCCCAGATGAGCTAGTTTCGAGTGAGTATCTTTCAAGATTATGTCAAAGGAATGAGCAAGGAATAGGCAACGAGGATTTCTGCCTCGCTTCTTAGCGATGCTTGGTTTGGTTGATTTAGAAAGCCCACTGGGAAAGGAAGGAGGGAGGCCTCCTGGGGCCTGAAATCTGGGAGATGAAGAAGAAGAGGAAGAAGAGGAGATTGGATTTATACCCCGCCCTTCACTCAGAGTCTCAGAGAGGCTTACAAACTCCTTTCCCTTCCCCTCCCCACAACAGACAGCCTGTGAGGTAGGCGGGGCTGAGAGAGCTCTGACAGAAACTGCTCTTTCAAGAACAGCTCAAGGTCATCCGGCAGCTGCGAGTGCAGAATTGGGGAATCAAACCTGGTTCTCCCAGATTAGAGTTCACACACTTAACCACTACACCAAACTGGCTCTCCAGGTTTTTTGTGGGGCTGAGCTCAGCTGTGGCTCTTGAGAGGCTGAGGGATCATTGTACTGGATATTCCAGAAAAGGTTGGTGGTTGCTTAGAAACAGCCAAGGTGGAAGAGGCCAAAGGCCCACCAACCCTTTCCTCTGCCTTCACCTGGATGACTTCAGGCCTTACCAGCAAACCCCCGCCCCCGGAAACTGGCACATAATCCCAAAACCATTGGGGGAGCTTGAACTGAGGAGTTTGCTTTTTTAAATCTTAGTTCTCCCACACACACAACAAAGTGACAGTTTTGGGAGGCTGAAAACCAGCCCCTAATAGCTGTTGTCACAACTGGAAGGAAACTCTCAATGCAGTTGCAGGACTGGATATCATGATAACTTCTTGTATTTAAGTCTCAAGGGCAGAGAATCAAAAGAGCTGTTGTTGTTGTTCAGTCGCACAGTCGAGTCCGACTCTTCGCGACCCCATGGACCAGATCACACCAGGCCCTCCTGTCTTCCGCCGTCCGCTGAAGTTGGCTCAATTTCATGTTCGTTGCATCTATGACACTGTCTAACCATCTCATCCTTTGCCGTCCCCGTCTTCTTTGACCTTCAATCTTTCCCAGCATCAGGGCCTTCTTCTCCAGTGAGTGCTCCTTTCTCATTGGGTGGCCAAAGTATTTGAGCTTCAGTTTCATTATCTGGCCTTCCAGGGAACAGTCAGGGTTGATTACTTTTAGGATTGACTGATTTGATCTTCTTGCAGTCCAAGGGACTCTCAAGAGTCTTCTCCAGCACCATAGTTCAAAAGAATCTATTCTTCGGCGCTCGGCCTTCCGAGCTGTGCAGAGATTCAAATGCAAACAGTGGGGGAATCATTCTTCGCCACTTTTCCCCTTAAAGCACCTACAGAGGGGTGTAGGGAGGGGAGGGATGGGTGTAATATAAGAACAGCTTTACTGGAGGGCCTGGAAGGAATTGCACACCCATTAATAACCAGGGCCTGACTGGTGGTTTGACTTCTTGTGTGGCTCCTGATTAGACCTCTTTCTTTATTCGAGCAGGAAGAAGCCACTAAAATATTCAGAGAGTAGATTTAAATTCTGTGGCAGATCAGACCTCCTTGTGTGGATTTTAACAGGATCTCTCTCTTTGTTCCAGCAGGGAATGACCAGAGGAACGAGGAAGATGAGGAACTTCATGACCTATTGCCAGATGTAGTCAAAGATGAAGACTTCAGAGGAAACTTGAGGAATCAAGGCAGACATAAGAGGCAAAAAGGAAGCCACATGTTCAAGAACAATGATAAAAGCATTCCTTGCCAAGGGGGGGATTTCCATGACGTAATTCACATGGAGGAAGCATACAAGTGCTTGGAGTGTGGAATGAAGTTCTCAGATCAAACCCAATATAATATCCATTTACAAATACACAGTGGAAGGAAGAACCATCAATGCCTGGAGTGTGGAAAGACCCTCCTTTGTAGAGCAGAACAGATTAGACATTTAAGAACACATAGAAGGGAGAAACATAGCAGTTCACAATGTGGCGAGACCATCTCAGGGAAACCAGGCTTTGTTCATTCAGGAGAGAAATCATTTATCTCCTCAGAGGGTGGAAAAACATTCTGTGATGGAAAAAGAGATAATATAGGTTTTCCAAAGCACAGCATAATGAAGGCCCATAAACCTTTTCGGTATGAAAAGGACTTGAAATCCAGATCACAGCTCCTTGTGCAACAAAGACTCCACAGAGGGGAGAAATCTTCTGAGTACGCAGAGCATGGAAAGAAGTTCAGTCAAAGTGGTAGTCTTAAAGATCATCAAAGAATGCACACAGGGGACAAACCTTATAAGTGCTCAGTGTGTGGGAAGAGATTCAGACAGTGCAGCAGTCTTCAGTTTCATCAAAAAACCCACATAGGGGAGAAACCTTCTGAATGCTCAGAGTGTGGAAAGAGATTCAGTCGGAGTGGTTCTCTTCACCAGCACTTAAGAATCCACTCAGGGGAGAAACCTTTTGAATGCTCAGAGTGTCAAAAGAGATTCAGTCAGAGTGGTTCTCTTCACACGCACCTAAGAACTCACACCGGGGAGAAACCTTTTGAATGCTCAGAGTGTGGAAAGAGATTCAGTCGGAGTGGTTCTCTTCACGAGCACCTAAGAATCCACACAGGGGAGAAACCTTTTGAATGCTCAGAGTGTGGAAAGAGATTCAAGTTGAGTGGCACTCTTCAAATGCATCAAAGAACCCACACCGGGGAGAAACCTTTTGAATGCTCAGATTGTGGAAGGAGATTCCGTCAGAGTGGCAAGCTTCATGAGCATCAGAGAACCCACACAGGGGAGAAACCTTTTGAATGCTCAGAGTGTGGAAAGAGATTCAGTCGGAGTGGTTCTTTTCATGAGCACCTAAGAATCCATACAGGGGAGAAGCCTTTTGAATGCTCAGAGTGTGGAAAGAGATTCAGTCGGAGTGGTTCTCTTCACAAGCACCTAAGAACCCACACAGGGGAGAAACCTTTTGAATGCTCAGAGTGTGGAAAGAGATTCAGTCGGAGTGGTTCTCTTCACGAGCACCTAAGAATCCACACAGGGGAGAAACCTTTTGAATGCTCAGAATGTGGAAAGAGATTCACGTTGAGTAGCACTCTTCAACTGCATCAAAGAACCCACACGGGGGAAAAACCTTTTGAATGCTCAGAGTGTGGAAAGAGATTCCGTAGGAGAAACAATCTTCAGCGGCATCAGAGAACCCATACAGGGGAGAAACCTTTTGAATGCACAGATTGTGGAAAGAGATTCAGGTTGAGTGGCACTCTTCAGCTGCATGAAAGATCACACACAGGGGAGAAACCTTTTGAATGCTCAGAGTGTGGAAAGAGATTCAGTAGGAGAAACAATCTCCAACAGCATCAGAGAACCCACACAGGGGAGAAACCTTTTGAATGCTCAGTGTGTGGAAAGAAATTCAGTCAGAGTGGCAGTCTTCAATATCATCAAAGAACCCACACAGGGGAGAAGCCTTTTGAATGCTCAGAGTGTGGAAAGAGGTTCAGTCAGAGAGGTTCTCTTCAGGAGCACCTAAGAACCCACACAGGGGAGAAACCTTTTGAATGCTCAGAGTGTGGAAAGAGATTCACATTGAGTGGCAGTCTTCAGTATCATCAAAGAACCCACACAGGGGAGAAACCTTTTGAATGCTCAGAGTGTGGAAAGAGATTCACGTTGAGTGGCAGTCTTCAGTATCATCAAAGAACTCACACAGGGGAGAAACCTTTTGAATGCTCAGATTGCGGAAAGAGATTCAGTCAGAGGGGTGCTCTTCAACTGCATCAAAGAACCCACACGGGGGAGAAACCTTTTGTATGCTCAGAGTGTGGAAAGAGATTCAGTCAAAGAGGTTCTCTTCAGGAGCACTTAAGAACCCACACAGGGGAGAAACCTTGTGAATGCTCAGAGTGTGGGAAGAGATTCAGTAAGAGTAGCACTCTTACACGGCATCAAAGAACCCACACGGGGGAGAAACCTTTTGTATGCTCAGAGTGTGGAAAGAGATTCAGTCAAAGAGGTTCTCTTCAGGAGCACTTAAGAACCCACACAGGGGAGAAACCTTTTGAATGCTCAGAGTGTGGGAAGAGATTCAGTAAGAGTAGCACTCTTACACGGCATCAAAGAACCCACACAGGGGAAAACATTTGAGTGCTCAGATTGTGGGAAGAAGTGCAATCAGAGTGACAGTCTTCAGTTGCGTTAAAGAAATCACACTGCGGACAAACCTTTTGAATGCTCAGAGTGTGGAAAGAGATTCATGTTGAGTGGCAGTCTTCAGTATCATCAAAGAACCCATCCGGGAGAAACGTTTTGAGTGCTCAGAGTGTGGAAAGAGATTCATTCGGGGTGGCTTTTTTCAACAGCATCAAAGAACCCATATAGGAGAAAAACCCTTTGAGTGCTCGGATTATGGAAAGAAGTTCTGTCATAGTGACAATCTTCTGTTTCATCAAAGAACTAACACTGGGGAGAAACCTTTTGAATGCTCAGGATGTGGGAAGAGATTTATACTGTGTGGCCACCTTCAATGGCATCATAAAACCCATACAGGAGAGTAACCATTTGAGTGCTGAAAGTGTAGGAAGAAATTCAGTCAACCTGGCAGTCTTTAGCAGAATCTAAGAACCCACACAGGGGAGAAACCTTTTGAATGCTCAGAGTGTGAAAAGAGATTCAGTTGAACTAGCACTTTTCAAAAACATCTAAGAACCCATGTAAATGCTTAGCCCGTGAAAAGATTTCTCTGATTTGACACCTAAAAGACAAGCACAGACTATACAAAGCACTGAAATGATGTAAAATTTTCTAAGACCTGGAATGTATCTAGAAACCTTACCCTAATTAGGTTAAAATGCTATAAAGGCCAGGATTGTGGAAAGAACTTTAGCCACGTTCGAATCCTCAGATAGATCCCAAAGGGAAGAAAGCAAGGACGGGGGTGGGCTCGGTGGGTCGAAGGATCAGCTGATATCTCCTTAGCATCGAGGAGTCCACCCTGGGGAGGAACCTCATAAATGCTCATTGTGTGTCAAGAGCCTGAGGCACAGATTCGACTCTCATGTTTCTCAAAGAATACATATGAGGGTGAAGTTTTCTAGGAACAGCTGATTCTGATGAGGGTCTTCTTCAAATGCTGAGGTGTTGGAGGTTCAAAAAGTGTAATGTGGCAAACTCTAATGTGGAGAACTGGATTTGATTCCCCACTCCTCCACATGAAGCCGGCTGGGTGACCGTGGGCCAGTCACAGACTAGATGACCATGAAAGTCTCTTCCAACTCTATGATTCAAGAGTTCTCTCAGCCCCACCTACCTCACAGGGTTTCTGTTGTGAGGAAAGGAAGGCTCTGAAACTACTTTGGGTAGAGAAAAGTGGGGTATAAAAACCAACTCTTCTTTTTCTTAGTGTTTGCCCTTCTCTGTAAAACTTGCTACTTCAGGTTATCTGCCAAGTTAAGTCTTTCTGACATCTGCAATTTCAAGTATCGGTTGTTACATACAAAATATTAAAGTTTTGGCTATTACATAGAAAGTCCTTCATGGTCTTGGACTGCCATATTTGCGAGACTGCCTCTCCCCCTCTGTGCCACCAGAACAGCTTCGCTCATCTGAGTGAGGTCTTCTGAAGGTGCCAACCTGCAAATGGCCAAATCAACAACCTCCCATACCTGTACCTTCTCTGTTGTGGCCCCTACCTTAAGGAACAGTCTGCCTGAGGAAGTCGGGAAGGCTTCCATTCTCTTGGTTTGCCACAAACTATCCAAAACAATGAGTTAAGAGAGTTTTTCTACCCATGCAATAGAGTTGCACTGTACTAAATGACTAAATGACTCACAGAATTACTTGGATAAATTATTAGGGACTGCGGTCTGTGCTACTATGTTCAGCTTACTGAAAGTAAGCTCCTGCAGTGTAGTTTTGGAATCATGTAATGTGTCATGTGAAGACTTACGCTTTTGCTTGAGTCCTGTTTTTAGACTTCAGACCGGTTCTGCAGCCCTAATCATATGGCGTTGTTTATTGAATGCTCCATCTTTTCGGTTGTATCGACTCACTCTGTGTCATCTGCCTTGAGTCCAAATGAGAAAGGCAAAGTATAAACAACATAAATAAAGAAATAAATAATATCTGGCTAAGGCTCCTCAAGGAGCTGCGGTGGTTCAAGTGGTTAAGACGCTGAACTGCAGGCTGTGGAAGGTCGGTAGTTCAACAGTTCGAGACCCGAGTGTGCCACATGATGGAGTGAGCTCCCGTCTCTAGTTCCAGCTCCTGCCAACCTAGCAGTTCGAAAGCAAGAAATTGCAAGTAGATAAATAGGTACCACTTCGGTGGGAAGGTAACAGCATTCCGTGCGCCTCGGTGTTTAGTCATGCCGGCCACATGACCACGGAAACGTCTTCGGACAGCGCTGGCTCTTCGGCTTTGAAACGGGGATGAGCACCATAGCCCTAGAGTCAGATTCGACTGGCTTTCGAGCAAGGGAACCTTTACCTTTACCTTTTAAGGCTCCTCATCTCCCCAAGCCCCACCCTCTCCAAGGCTCAACCCCCACATCTCCAGGAACTTGTCAACGTGTAAATGGCAACGCTAGGAAGGCCTGGACCCCATGGGACCTCCCTCAAAGATCAAAACACCCCTGAAAAGTACCCTGTCCTCTCCCCTTGCCTTTCACTCACAGAAACCCAGTATGAAAAGCTGTGTTTGCCTAGCAACAGCCACTGAGGCAATCTATGTCTTAAAGCTAGGTGCTTATTTTATCATATATATATATATTAAAATGCCTAATATTTTTTACATTTTTCTGCGGCCCTGGGGAATTTCTCAGTTTGTAGTGTAGAAAGATCTGTCTTCCTCTTCACAGTTCCAGTCACTGCATTTAGGTTGGCTCAGATTTGGCCAACTTAAAATGTGTGATTTATTTTATTTAACGTCTCCCGATTTCCTTGCGGTTCAAGTCAACCAGTGGCATTGCTAGGCTCTCTGTGCCTCAACAACCGATTTTTTTAAACCCCCTTTCCTCTGCTGGGGGGCCTTGGATACCCACTAGCAGCCCCAGCCCCACATTGGCACTGAATCTTAGGATGGGGCTGTGGTTGATTCACATTCAGGTAGGAGTAACTCCCCCACCAGGTGTCACTGGACTCTAAATTTGTTCCCCCCCAACACACAAACATGCAATGACCTTTTTCACTTCTGGTGTTGTTTTTTTGAGAATTTTTAAAATTTTATAACAGCAAACACAAAAAGACAAACAACATACACAAACACACAAAACACAAAATGGGATAATCTCTCCATCTTTTTTAATAGACTGTTTTGTTATCCATCTCTCATTATAAAAAAAAAATTCTGCACCTTATATTGTAAAACATAGCTTTGCACATTTTATTGTTAATGTTCTTATTGTCCTCTGTTTCAGTTATACTCATGTTTCATTTGTTATATTCTTCAATCCACTTGTAAAGTCTTGTCCATGTTTCTTCAAAAAATTTCTCTTTATGCCCTTTCAAAATTAAAAGCCAGTTTGGTGTAGTGGTTAAGTGCACGGACTCTAACCTGAGAGAACCGGGTTTGATTCCCCACTCCTCCACTTGCACCTGGCTGGAGGGCCTTGGGCAAGCCGTAGTTCTGATAAGAGCTGTCCTTGAAAAAGAGCAGTTTCTGTCAAGAGCTCTCTCAGCCCCACCTACCTCACAGGGTGTCTGTTGTGGGGAGGGGAAGGGAAAGGAGTTTGTAAGCCGCTCTGAGACACCTTTGGGTAGCAAAGGGCAGGGTATAAGTCCAATCTCTTCTTCTTCTAAAGTTAATTTGTCAATTTCAGCAGTTTCTAGTAGTTTGTTTATCATTTCATCTTTTGAAGGTGTCTCCTTTCTTCAATATTTAGCATACAATATTCGAGCAGTTGTAACTACATGTAAAATAGGAGGAGGAGGAGGAGGAGATTGGATTTATACCCCACCCTTCACTACCCAAAGGTGTCTCAGAGCGGCTTACAAACTCCTTTCCCTTCCCCTCCCCACAACAGACACCCTGTGAGGTAGGTGGGGCTGAGAGAAATCTTTACAGAAACTGCTCTTTTTCAAGAACAGCTGTGCAAGAGTTATGGCTTGCCCAAGGTCATCCAGCCAGGTGCAAGTGGAGGAGTGGGGAATCAAACCCGGTTCTCCCAGATTAGAGTCCACACACTTAACCACTACACCAAACTGGCTCCAAAATAAGATAAGAGTATTGTTTTTTACAGTTTTGTGGAAGTATATACAATAAAAAGAGTTCTGGTACAAAAGGTACATCGCTTTTTAAGATTTTTTGCAATATTTTGTGTATCAAAGCCCAATTTTTAAAACTTTTATTACAAGTCCACCACATGTGAAAAAAGGAACCAACATTTTTTTGACATTTCCAACACTTATTCGACATGTTGGGGTAACATTGGATAACTTATCTGGCGTAATACACCATCTATAAAACATTTTATAAATATATTCTTTGTAAGAGATTGCTTTAGTAATTTTTATATTTGTTTTTCATATCTTGGACCATTGGTAGAAATCAATATTATACCCCAAATTTTGTGCCCATTTAACCATAGAAGATTTCACCACTTCATCTTATTTATTTATTTATTTATTTATTTATTTATTTTATTTTTGGGATTTAGGGATTTCTATCCCGCTCCATCCAATATACAGCTCGGGGCGGCTAACAAACGGCCATGCCGAAGTTAAAATATGCAAACAAACAACAGCATAATAAAACACAATATCTTGACATAAAATTTGGTGCTTTGATAATTTACATAAAATCCAAGATGGGCGACGTCCCACACTGG